TGTATTGTATTTCGTAGCTGGGTGCCTTCTCGCTGTAGGGTGGGGGGTTCTCTCTCAGGCCATCCCAGTGCAGCAGGGGTGAGAGGGGTTTGGGGTGAGGGAAGGGGNGGGGGGACCACCTCACCCCTCCTCCCCTCAGCTCCGCCTCTGTCTTATACCAAACAATCAACTGGTAGCCAAAATGGGCATCTTTCATGTAAAGTGAGGCTGCAGAGTCACACATTGTGTTCTCTAAAAGTGGTTTTGAATGATAGTAAAAAAGTAAACCTCCATCAGGAAGTTAATTGTGGGTCCAAAAAAAGCATCAACTTGTGACCATTTCCTCATTCAATTGGAGTTGTATTAACTGAGGTGAAGAAACCAGGTCTATTTAAGGAGCCTAGAGGAAGAAATACTCAAGTAAAAGTAGAAATACTACAGTGTAAAAACACTCTCTTACAAGTTAAAGTCCTGCATTCATAAGCTAACGTACAAAAGTATTGGCTTCTAAATATACTTAATACTAAAAGTATTTGTTTGGCTTAATGGGCAGTGTAAGAATGAAATCAGTGAATTAAACCATTCATGTGTTTTTCACAACTATTTTGTTTACTGCTGCTGGGTATTTTAACCTATAATTTTATTTATTAGTTAATTTAGGTTTTGTATTAACTAAACATCTGAATTTTAGGAACTAAAGGATAAATGCAATGTAATAAAAGGTACACAATACTGGCTTCTAAAATATAGTGGAGTAGAATTATGAAGGTGCATAAAATGAAAATACTGCAAGTTCTTCCAAATTGTAGGCTACTTGAGTAAATCTGCTTAGTTTACAACATTGTATATAGTGGTTAGTAAAGCATTTACTGTTCTATAAATTATAGTAAAAAAAGCAAACAATTGTTACCTCCATTCTGACGTTAACAAAAATCTGAACGTTTATTGTTTCTCCAAAAAAGCTTCAACTTGTGCCAGTTCCTCATTCAGTTGAAGGTTTTTTTTGAAGGAACCATTTATGTAGGAACCCAAACGTCCATGTTATCTAAGAAGACATTTTATTTGTATTATTGGCAATGATCGAGCTGTGCGTGTTGTATTCCACTTCATGGGCCCACCACTTTGTTCATTTAACTCTTAATTGTCTGCGATGCAATTATGGAGATAGGGATGTTCTGCATGACGCCAATCAGGGCTGTAGGAGGCGGGAAATCAGCTCTGACGCCCCGGGTTTCAGGCGGCTGTTTGTGGGCCTTTGAGCGCGGACACATCCCAGCATGCCCCTCTGCTGTGGCACGTCATAACCCAAAAAAAAAACTAAAACCTAAAAATACATCTGGTTGCGTTTTTTTAATTAAATCGATTTGCTCTTTAGGTTGTGTTCAATAGGAGTTATTATAAGCAGCAGCCTTCTTTTAGTTTGCATACATTACACACACACATTTGCACACGCACACACACGCGCGCAACTTGTTTGTCTTGCAAATGTTTAAATAATTCAGGTGGGCATATAACAATAACACGTGCACAGTAGACACACATGCACGCACAACGATCGTTTTAAAGTCAAATAAGCTACAACTGAAAATCTTCAGTTTTATTTAATGTATTTATTAATCATTACGACACCACGCCATATCAACAACAGTGTGTGTTTCACTCAGTCAGAAGACGATAAGAGAAAAAATTGAATAAGGCCAAAGTGTTTAATAAACATTTTTATTTTTAAACGTTTGCGACACACATACAAAAAGGACACACACAACAGCACATAATACAGCTTTAAAATCTCTATTCTGATAAAGTTAATATTTAGTGTGTTTTTTTAAACCCACAGGGCTAAGCTTAACTGAAGAAAAACAAGTATATAAAACTATCAGAAATGTTTGATGACCTTATTCATTCTGTATTTGTTTATTTTCATTGGTGTATTTGCTTGTTTGAGTTATCTCTCAAACGGTTTTATTTTCTCAAAAATATTGATATTTTTTCCCCAATCGTTTTATTGTTTATTCCTCTTTTACTTATTCTATGTGCTTTAATAATTTGCCTATTACTTGACGTGTTTCCCTTCCCATACGTCATCAAATCACATTTGATAAAACACATATTTTAAACATTTTTAAAAAGTGCAGAATCGAGAAAAACGTAAAATGTATTTATTGTGTTATTAATAATAACAATTGTATTTAATTTGGAAAATTGTTCGCTGCTATTATTATAAGTGTAGCCTACTGTACTTGTAGTTATAGGTAATCTCAGCGAGTGTCAGTGCAGTATCCAACACACAAATAATAAATAAATATATATTTTAAAATTATGTAAAATTGCAAATTGAGAAAAACCTAAACCGTATTATATTTTATTAATTGTATTTATTGTGTAAAAGTGTTCACTGTTAGTATAAATTGTAGGTATAGATATAGTAATCTCAGCGAGTGTCAGTGCAGTAGCAAACACACATTAATATTAAATAAATATATATTTCGGAGTCTACCGTAACGTTAATATTTGGTGGTTCTCCTCGCCAGAGTCTGCGTCTTGTTATTGTTATTATTGCTATTATCGCCTCATCGTGCTGCCACAGAAAAGCTGGCCGTCCTGCTGCAGTCACTTTGAATTAACTTCACCAACACGTTAACTCCTCACTGACACACTCTCTCTCACACACACACACACACACACACACACACACACACACACACACACACACACACACACACACACACACACACACACACACACACACACACACA